CTATCGATCAGATAGATTAATTACGAAGCAAGACTACCGTTAATCTTTTCCTTATACCATAAGGACCGGGCACAATCAAGTGTACCGTCGATATTTAGCACCATTATTTGGCGATATCAATCTTCTAGAGAACGTTTCTTCACTAGATATAGTAACTTGGACACTTCCAGAATTAAGTTTGGCTTTAACTATAATCGTGCTTTTAATGAGCTGGAAAAGACCGCCTCAGCACAATTTCCCACGGTGAGCTCTGTATCGCATGCCTTCCTTCCATTAATCAGATCTACTTTCAGTTTTCTGCTGCTATTGCTTAAATAACAGCCTAGGCTTAGCCTAACTTGCTTCCAACATTTTGGAAGTTTCAGAATTTGTCGTTTCTACAAACCCAATCCTAGGTTCTGTTTCTTCTTCGGATGGATATCCAGAACGAATGTGAGCAAACATTAGTGACAGGTTCTGAAGAACATCAGCAACCGCCTAGTCACTGAACTATAGACTTCTTCTCGTCAGTTATTACTATTTTATCGCCCTCCAATTTAATGGCGTCTACTTAATTCATAAGCATCCTCTTGGATTGCACGTGACTAAAATACTTCTTGGGCTTTGCCTTCATACTTTTAGCTAGAATCCCCTCGTATTTTCGCTTTTTGCTTCAAACAACACAAACAGCCTCATTCCTGTGTTCTGCGTAACGCGTACACGAACGCGATGCGATCCTATCTCCCGCTATCGCTTCCAGCTGACGTTACGACGGCGTATTGCCTTTCCAATGGAATCTTTCCACCAAGATGGTTTAACGAACGACTTCCACAGTTTCAGAGACGCAAACACATCCTGCAATGCAAGTAATTTCCCCCAATTATTCTCCACACATCTTCCATTATAAACCTATCTTCGGATTGCTGCCAAACGAGCTCAGCTGCCTTCCTTTGCAGTTCATTAACATCTAATTTTCCGAAGCAGCGCTCCATGCTTCCATGTGGTTTTGGCAGCCTTGTCTCTACTGTAAACTTAATGACCACGTGGTCGCTCTTTCCTATTGAAGATGGTAGTCCAGCTCCTGCACATCCTTATCGTACCACGTGATAACAAGGTTTAGCATAGACGGTTACTGTCCCGACCTAAAACGCGTGTTTTCTGTTACGTGCTGGTGCATTGCTTTGAAATGCACTCAATCTACAAAGCCTTGTTCCTGTATATCGTTCGAACAACTGACGATGTCTCATTTTATACCTGGTAGGCTGAGGCCCCCAGTATTATTAGATTATGAGGCATTCGTGATAGCATAACCAGTGCTGATTGGAGCTGATCGTCCTCTATTTCCATAGTACGAGGACTCCTGTATACACACGCTATGTTGGTTTGTGTCCGTCAGAGGTGACAGTGACTGAGAACATCTGTATGCTGCTCGTACAGACTTGAATATCCAACCTAACTTGCTGGATATCTTTCCTAACTAATATGATTACCTCATCATTCTAAAGCTGTGGACTCCGACTCTGTCTCCGACACAGAACCCGAGGGAACAACAAGTATTTTGAAGTGTCTATAAGTTGCTCTAAACATGTACCTGTTCTAGACCCTAAGGCCGAGTTCATCTCGGTGGACGTTGAGGTCTTCCTGAACGGTGTAGTAGACCCAAGGCCGACTCTGGCTGTAAGCAACTTTACCATTGCTCATTTTCTAAGACATCCTCGACTGGGGACAGTCTACCCACCCCTATCTGTGGGGGACCCTGTTTCTTAAGTTGGGTGTTGATTGGCTTCCGCCTAACCGGCGATACTTTGCCGTTGGGTTGTCATGTGTTTGGACTCCTGGGGATGTCAGGCACTATTTTATGCCTCTCACAGGTAACATTCAGAATTCTCTGGAAGTTTGCGAGCAATTTATCGCTACTAGTTGGTTCCACAAACTAAACGAGTAAGGGTCTGGCCCTGCGAAATCTCACTGGTTCCGGGTTCTCCCAGATGCCAATCCGGTGTATCCCATTATGCTGAGGGGTAGCATACCAGCAGCCCGTAGGACATCCTGGACTCTTTGCCGGTCCATTTCTCTGCAGGCTTGAGATTTTTTATGAATGGTTCTTCACCGTTCAAGATCAAGACCGTCGTTTGTCTAAATCCCGCTACATGTGCCTTTCTTTTTAACTCTAGGTTTGCCTGGACTTCGCGCAACTGCACTTTCAGGGATTTAAGTGTACCTGCGCAGTCGTTCCGTACATTTTTCCTTTGCACTCCTGAATTAACAACCTGGGCCTTTTTCTCTACGCCCCGGTGCTTCGGCTAATGATTCGTTCTGGCTATAGAGTCTGGGTTTCACGCTTTCATATCAACGCTCTTACTCAAAACTGGAGCACCTACATTCGCTTTCTTTGTTTTCGCGGATGAAACTTCGGCATTCGTCCTCACTCTGTCTCAGATGACAGGTGCATTACTCTAGTTTGCGCTGTGCTGAGATTACCTCTGGTCGTGCCGTAACCAGCGCATTTTCGGTCGCTCGAAAGCAATGAGGATAAACCCATTTTAACCCTGTGCTTTGACAATGGAATGCTTGATGTTTTGGTTTTAGACCAGTTCTTACAGTTCTCAAAGGACGAATTTTGGCTTTTGCCGATTGCGCGTCCAGCTTTTGTGTTTTCAGCGGTTTCGTTGGCTTCCAACACTTCAAGTAAATAGTGCGTTCTGAAAGGCAGAATGTTAGTCTGCAATAGGAGATTCCTTACAATGTTTCGGAAAGTAAAGCCTAACGATTAACTTTCAAAATTCAACTTTGAGACATACTACTGCCCAACATTCGTCCAGCTTTATCTTGAAGGATTCGACAGTAATACAGTTAACTATCGCTTCAGGTAATTTGTCCCACAGTGGTATAACCCTGCTTGTGAAGAACCTGGATGTTAGATTTATTCTACAATGACTTCTTTCCAGTCTTAGTTGATATCTCCTCGTGTCCCTAGCAGGAACAAACGAGAATACGTTTTGGAACTTTAGACACGAAAGCCCTTTAATAATCTTAAATGTCTCTATAAGGTCGTCTAGCATACGTCTGCGGGCCAGGGATAACAGGTCCAGGTCTCTCAGTCGTTGGAGGTATCCCTTACCTTTCTGGCCGGCTACCATTCTAATTGCTAAGCGCTGTACTTTCTCAAGACACTGTTCATCCTGTTTAAAATAAGGCCCTCATGCTTGTACGCAATATTGTAGATGAGGACGCACAATAGTTTTGTATAAAGGTACGAAAACCTCGGGTCTTCAGCTCACAACCTGAAAGTTCGTGTCGAGCTTTATTAGATGGACGCTTGCACTACAGTGATGGACTGAAGTCGTTCGTGATCATTACCTCCAGATCCTTTGCTTCAGAGACATGCTGCAGATGCATCACACCTCTCGTGTCATCATTGGCTCTTGTGGTCAAAAGCTGACACTTACCTAGATTCAGTGGCAGATTCCACTTATCCGACTACCTTCGAACTGCATCTATTTCCTGTTCCAATCCTTCCCCAGCTAACTTAACACCATCGGTAAACATGTGGCAAGGATTTTGGAGATCTGTCCGAAGATTGTTAATGAAGATCAAAAATAATAACGGACCCGACATCAATCCCTGCGAGACACCACTCGATATTCCCTTAGGTTAGGTTTTATGATTTCCAACTCTCGCATGGAAGGTGCAACAGTTCAGAAATTGTCTAATTTATTCTCTTGATTTACCTAGAATCTCCAGGGTCTGCATTTTTAGATTCAGAAGCTGATGACTGACAGAATCAAAAGCTGTACTGAAATCTAGATAGCAAACATCCACTTGCAGACCTTTGTCTACTCTTTTTGTCACTTCGTCTAGAAATGCCGAAAGGTTGGCTAGACTAGATCGTTTCTCAACGAATCCATGCTGGGTTTGAATCAGAAGTCTATGTACGATCACTTAAGAACATATCTGTTTCCTAACTATCCTCTCGAGACACTTGCAGAAGACCCCGGTCAAACTTACCGGCGTATAGCTGAAAACCTTGTGTCTGGGGTCTGACTTGTGTTTGGTCTCTACGGTTGCAGTTTTCCAGTCGTATGGTAGCTTGCAAGTACCAATGGACTCCTTAAATAACTTAGTCACCAATCCCGCTAATGCATTTATTAGAGGCTGCATCATGGTGGGATGCAATATATCTGGTGGTGCTGCTTTATGCTTATTTAAGGCGTTGAATTCTCGGATAACGTCGTTTTCACAGAGTCTGAACTCTGTGTATTTCTCTTTTGTTCCATCCAGACTAAAGTCTACAGTCTGTTCTGCCGTTTGTAGCCGATAAATTCCCTTGAAAAATGAGAGGAGTGCATTCGCCTTTTCCTGGTCGGTGGTGGCCAATACGCCATAAGCGTACCTACTCTCTCCTTAGTGTTCTTGTTCTCATGCACGTATGTCCGAAATCTTTTTAGGTTATGCTTTACGTTTTGCGCTAGCTTTTTCTCGTGTTCATACTTCGCCTCCCTTTGAAGTATACCACTGAAGGTGAACCTTTTCATCTTATTGTCGCAGCACCAGGGAAGCCTTGGAGCTCACAAGTGCAAAAAAGTGGACGATCTGGCAAGCTGATGTCATCATCTTGAGCACCGAACTGAACTGAACTGAAGTGATTGTGCTCTGTGGCGTTCCCTCTTGTAGATGGACCACGCATCGGCAGTACGGTACGCCCTAAAGCGGGACCAGCATCTCCTACGGACAAACTGCACAAGTTATTGATTCCACCCCTGTATCTTTTAGACCATTTCTCGTGCTAGCCCTTATCAATGCACGATACATCTGCCCCAAAATAGAGGCATTAAAGTGGCTGGCACTCACATTAGACCTCAATATTATACTTATCACAGAGTGTTTAAGATGTCCCATGGAGCTCATAATGAGAACACAAATCGGCAAACAAGCTCGTTTTTAGTGTCTTAATCATACCATTACAACACAATAAATATGACTAGTATCAAAGAAAGATTTACAAGGAGAAAAGAGGGAAATTAAGTAAAATATTCAACAGTTTGTTTCATAATTGGTCCCCAATTATCACTTGCTCCGATGTTGCATGACAAGTCACTTGTCGGTGATCCGTCCATGGGAGCTTGAGTGCTTGCACAAATTGTTTCTGAGCACACAGAGGGAGATTGTGAAGACGGATGGAAACTGCCTCCGCTGTGGCTAGAATGCGAAACCGCACGTTTCTAGTCCATCCCGTCGTAACTCTATACAGGGGTCGGAACGCTTCGGTTACGCTTGCAATATGATTAGTGTCGACAAGTCGCGGCACGACAGCACTTGTGATTGACTTAATTGCTCCACTTTGCAACCACGCAGGGTGATGCTCACTTATGCGCTCGGACAGACGCCTGGTCGTGCAACCAACACATTTTGCTCCCCATGAACAAGTGAAAGAGTGAATACAGAAAAGGGCGGCAGAATTGGGCACTTTATTCTTCAACCATCAATACACCAGCGGGCTGGATGTGAATGGAGTTTGAAGCTTAGCCGCGTAGAACGTTTTGTTGATGACATTTGATAACCTTCTATGCACAATCTCCGCCAAGGTGGCAAATTTAAGCGGTAAAGAAATGTATATAGACTTCTTCTCAGCAATTACCCTCTTGAGAAATGCCTCCTGCCGTTGTATCATAGATTTCATCAAACACTCTGGGTATCCATTCTGGATGAAGATATTCCGCACATTTTGGTGTTCCTCAACCATCATGTCCTTCGTGCAAATTTTTCTAGCTATATTGACCAAACAAAGTGTGAACTTTTTCTTCATATTGAGTGGTACAAAGCTACGGAAATGAAAGTACTGCCCATTCGATGTCGCCTTCCTGTGTACTGACCGCTTGATGGATCCGTCATCACAGCGAGTTAGGCGGACATCTAAATATGCTGGTTTATTGTTTGCCTCATTTTCAATCATGAATTTAAAATTTTGATGCATCGCATTGAAATCACCTAGTATATATTGGCACTCGGTTGTAGAACCGACCACGCACAAAATATCATCTACGTAACGTTTGTACAGTACACATTGTTTGGTATGTGTTTTAAGTGGATCGTTTTCTATTTTAGACATGAAAACATCGGCAAACAAGGGCCCTAGAGGAGATTCCATTGCTACACTGTCCTTTTGGCGATAGATTTCCTCATGGAATTCGAATTGCACATTGTGCGTACAGAAGAATAATTCTTTAAGGTCATCTGTCGGTAGGCCTACGTCAATTCCGTTACTTTCAATATAGATGCATAAGTAATCAATTGTTTCACCGATCGGAACATTCGAGAACAGAGGTGTGACATCTAGCGAAAACATATGGCGATCTTTGATGTTAAAACCACTCAAGGCGTCAATGAGACTGGTTGTATCCTTGAGGCTATGCTGGGTTAATGTCATCCTCACTGTTTCCAGAAGACGAGCCAACCATTTGGCTACCGCATGGTAGGGAGAGTTGCACATGTCCAACATTGGCCTGACTGGAACTCCACTCTTATGCACTTTGGGCAGCCCGTAAAATCGTGGAATCGTAGTCCCTGTTGGCCGAATCCGTTCAGAAGTGGCGGTGTCTATAAAGCCCTTTTGTTTACGTTTTCTTAATATGGTAGAAAGAGACTCCTCTATTCGAGTTGTCTTCTCATTCTCATGGGCTATTTTCGTGAGCTTCGATTCATCAGTCAGAATTGTTGCTACCTTGCCGACGTAATCTGATTTATTAAGTAAGACGACACCAGATCCCTTGTCCGGTTTCGTGATAATAACTCCCTTGTTCTGTTTTATCTCTCTTAACCTTTGTTCCATTATCAATCCATCATTCGATGATTTGGCACTCTGATATTGATAACATGTGTTCACCAGAGTAGACTTTAGCTGTTCCGCTCCCAAACGAGATTAAGGACACAAGTCTGCTAGCTGAGCACACAAATTTTCAAACTCGACCTCCATATCTAATTGCTTGAATTTTCTCCCCGGGCTGCAGAACTTTGGCCCCAAGGAAAATACTTTTATCAACGTTTTGTCTAGATTTACATCAGAAAAATTGTGGACGAATCTATCTGGATTCGTTGGGAACTCACTCATTGGTTTTGACGGATTCAGGCGTTCCATGAGAAGGGCATGCTTATGTTCCACTTGCTTTTGCACAATAGATTGAACGTAAACCTCAAATGTCTGTCTTTCAACCAGCAAAATTTTCTCAAAAACCTACGATGAAATCACTAAGCTTCTTTCTAAATCCATTTGATGGTTGCACACCGTACCACCTTCATTGAAAGCTTGACGACGAAGCGCAATTTTAGAAATTTGTATACGATTGCGTCGCAGAATAATCCAGTACTGTTTTGGATAGTTTGATTTGTCAACACAAAAATCCAGGAAATGAATACGAGTGTTGGCCAACGCCAGTTTCGTACTGAACTTGATATAAACGTTTCGTTCCTTTAATACGATGGGGTCTTTGGCTTGTTTTAAATGTTTAAAAGGTCCCACGGAGCTCATAATGAGAACACGAATTGGCAAACAAGCTCGCTTTTAGTGTATCTTAATCATGCCATTGTAAAACAATAAATATGACAAGTACCAAAGAAGAATTTACAAGGAAAAAAGAGAGGGAAAGTACCGAAAACGAGCTTGTTTGAAAATTTGTTCTAATTATCACAGAGTCCTGCATACTCAAAAACACACCAACCTAAGAATTTCCCTGCTGGGTTATTCAAACATCAGGAACTTCCGAACCCCTACAAGCTATTGACAACTACCGTTCAGTCAATCATACATCCATCATAGCCAGATTAATTGAAAAAATGGTTGAACCTCATATGACACAGCACCTGCTGACAAACAGTCTCATTAACAATAGCCAGCATGTTTTTCTTGAAACTTTGTTCAGACACGACATGCCAACTTGACTTTTTCAATCTTCTCACGATATCGACTGATTGTGGCAAGCCAGTTATAGCATTATTCTTAGACATGTCGAAAGCTTTTGACTGTGTCTTACACGCACGACTGTTGGTAAAAATTCGATGTTACGGTATCGCTGGCTCTCTCGTGGCATGGATCACCTCATACCTCTCAAACCAAACCCAAACAGTTATGGTCAACGGCTCTCAATTAAGCCCCAGACCCATAATCAGAAGAGTCATCCAAAGTAGTGTCCTTGTCCCTTTACTGTTCCTCATGTATGTAAATGATGTATTCTCAGTTATAAAATTCGGCGCCGCTTTCCTATTTGCCGACGATATTTAAATCATCAACACGGCTGAGGCAACTGACTCTTCCGGCTTAGCTCAGAAAATATCGGCTGAATTACTCTCCATTGAAGCCTAAAGCGCAACATGGCGAATGAAACTTTCAGCCAGCAAAATCGCTGCCTTCACTTACTGATGTGCTTTAGCCCTGAAGCCCTAACCCTTCATGGCTGTCCCATTCCCTCTAGCTCTACTGTAAATGACCTGAGCATGCAGTACTCCTGTATGTTCAACTTTTCTGAGCAAACAGCTTTTCAAGCCACCAAGGCCCGTTGAACATCTGGATTCATCATTAGGTCCCTGAAACTCCAGGAAAGCAGACTCCTATGCTAGACCAGTCATGTAAGACCACTATTGGAGTCTTGCCCAGTTATCTATACTAACATTAGCAAAACCTCAAGAAGAGCACTGGAAAGTGTTCAGAGGGCTTTCACTAAGCAGCTCTTTGGCTTCTCTTTCCAATTATCGTACAAAGAATGATGCGAAAGTCTGGAGCTGCAGTCTTTTCGGCTGCGCCGTAGAAAGCTCAGCTTAGGCGTCTTTTGCAATATTCTTCATAAATGGATCTTCTCTTGGACTACCCAACTGGACTTCAGAAACGAATGTGACAACCCACTTCGTTAGCAAAATTTCACTTTACCTCTCCCATTCTCCAGGGCCTCTATCAGAAGCAAAGTTTTTATTTCTGTGTATTCCAAGCTATGAAATAAACTTCCGAGTGGCATCCAATCCTCTCAATCCATTCATCTCTTCAAAGCTGCAATAAATAAATTCCTCACGGTCTAAAACATGATCCAACTCACCAACTCAATTTTGACTGTACAAGACACTTTTGCACCAGGGCTGCGGTTTTGAAACGGCATCAGTCATTGTTGCTTTTCCATTTTCAATAAGATGCGTTATGTATCCTTCCTAAACAACAGATTTTGCACCATATCGTAGGCTCGTGCTTAGCTACTGACCCACCGACAGGTCTCCAACTTCGATGAAGTTCTCTCTTGCTCTTCTATTTTTAATAAAGCATCCTCCTCCTCCTAACAATGAACCCATTTTGTCGTCGGTAAGACAAACCAGAGTATGTATTTTCATTTTTATTTCAGTTTAGCTCCACAGACCTTGT